ACAACATTAAAAGAGTTAAATCTTTCTTTAATTCGTGAAGCTTAGCTGATCCAAATAGCGTCAGCTGTTTCCCGCATGGAGTGATATAACTCTCCCCCAACTTACAGGGTGTCTGTCATACTAGAGGATTACAACTTAAATCGTTAAACAAATCAACCCCAGATACACGGGGAGGTTTCTATATGTCAAGGACACTGCCTTCACACGGGATTATTCCAAGTATTATCACTAAACAAGGCAATATCATATATCCATGAAAGCACGATGAACGGCAATTGCGTTTTTGGAATGTATATCATAACGATATATTTTCATACGGATACCACTGTAATCTTATAACCCAACCATAAGTTTTATAATCAAAGGGCTATGAATGTCATAGTAATAAGAGAACCGGAGTTACTTAAACCGGTTGACAACACTGAACTGGGTAATGGTCTGTTAATAACGGATGTTTAAACCGTACTGTAATCACAGTACTAGTAATAGTAATTGATACTGTAATTACAGTACTAGTAATAGTAATTGATACTGGTCACAGTACTAGTAACAGTAATTGATACTGTAATTACAGTACTAGTAATAGTAGTTGATACTGTAATCACAGTACTAGTGATAGTAATTGATACTGTAATCACAGTACTAGTAACAGTAATTGATACTGTAATCACAGTACTAGTACTAGTAATTGATACTGGTCACAGTGCCAGTAATAGTAATTGATACTGTAATCACAGTATTAGTAATAGTAATTGATACTGGTCACAGTACTAGTAATAGTAATTGATACTGTAATTACAGTACTAGTAATAGTAATTGATACTGGTAACAGTACTAGTAACAGTAATTGATACTGTAATCATAGTACTAGTACTAGTAATTGATACTGGTCACAGTGCCAGTAATAGTAATTGATACTGTAATCACAGTATTAGTAATAGTAATTGATACTGGTCACAGTACTAGTCACAGTAATTGATACTGTAATTACAGTACTAGTAATAGTAATTGATACTGGTCACAGTGCTAGTAATAATAATTGATAATGTAATCACAGTACTAGTAACAGTAATTGATACTGTAATCATAGTACTAGTACTAGTAATTGATACTGGTCACAGTGCCAGTAATAGTAATTGATACTGTAATCACAGTAATAGTAATAGTGATTGATACTGTAATCACAGTAATAGTAATAGTAATTGATCCTGTAATCACAGTAATAGTAATAGTAGTTGATACTGTAATCACAGTACTAGTGACAGTAATTGATACTGTAATCACAGTACTAGTACTAGTGATTGATACTGGTCACAGTGCTAGTAATAGTAATTGATGCTGTAATCACAGTACTAGTAATAGTAATTGATACTGTAATCACAGTAATAGTAATAGTAATTGATACTGTAATCACAGTAATAGTAATAGTAGTTGATACTGTAATCACAGTACTAGTAATAGTAATTGATACTGGTCACAGTACTAGTAATAGTAATTGATACTGTAATCACAGTAGTTGATACTGGTCACCTTCACAAAATTCAAGGCTGTATTTGATGCATAAATCATTTGAGAAAAATAACACCGAACTAATGTACATGTCATAGGCCGGAACTAGTTGTAGCTATAACACTAACAAAACAAAACAATGTCCAGGAAAACTTTTCAAGCAATCGAGAGATCATCCGATTTGCACATGAAAAAAGTAGCTTCTCGAATCTACAATGGTGACCCCTACACATCTCCACGATAAGGTATAGTAATTTTACACTAGATAATCGAGCAACCAGAAAAAGTCGACAATATTACATCATACTTTGGGCAAATTTGTTAAAGCTAAATCAGGAGAGTTTGTTGGAGAACTTCAATGTAGACGCCGGTGATACACGAGAACTGAACCCAATATTGGAGACCGGATGTAATAGCCTCACAACAATAGAAAAAAAGAA